AATTTGATATTGGTTTTTGCAAATGTGTACTATAAGTGTACGAAAAGTACTAAATTTGGTATTGGGTGAAGAAATAATGTACTAAGTATAAGAACTGTACTAAATGGTAATAAATTTGGCACAATTTTGTTTTGGGTGAACGGAAGAAGCTGAAATTTGAAATTAGATGGTTTTGGAAAAGTGCATGAAAAGTACTAAATTGTATTATATTTGGTACGATTTGTAATTGGGTGGACATAAAGAGCTTGAAATCTGCAATTTGGTATTAGGGTCGCTAGGTCGCTGTTCATGTGTAGCCAGGACATATAGAAGTGGTTTCGGAAATGTGTACAATAATTGTACGAAAAGTACTAAATGGTACTAAACTTGGTATTGGGTAAGATAATAAATTTTGTATTAGATAGAGGTTCTTAGGATAGAGCTTGAATTCTGAAATTTTATATGGAGGCCACTGATGGTATATAGTTTTGAGAGAAGGAGGTGCATTTTGGAATGCGTACTATGATTGTTCGAAAAATAGTAAATGGAACGAATTTTGCCGTTGAGTGAATGGATAGAACTTGAATCCAGATATTTAATATTAAGGTCACAGTTGGTTTCTAGGATTTAGATAGGCTTGTGGCCAATTTTTATTATGAAAAGACATTGAAATGGGTTTGACCAGAAAAAATGGATGTGGAACCATAATGCAAGGATTTAACTAATATGTTTTTTGGTAAATTTCCAAACGAAAGATTTGAAAACTTTTTGATAGAAAAAGTAATCATTTTTTGATTATATTTTTCGATAAAGGAAAAATTTGTGTTATTTAGTATTTTTAAGGGGAACTTTTCGCTGAAGTCTATAAACCATTATTTTTAAGCTATTGGTAATGCAGAAGGTAGTTTGTAGTTTGTTTCCTTACTTTTAAATGGGTTATTCGGCCCGTACAGTTCTCAAGTTTTTTTCTGTCTGGGACTTTTTCATCATTGATTACCGGGTCAAGAGGAATAAGCCCTTCAGGATTTTTTCTTGTACTTAAACTAAGGTGTTTAAGCCCCAAAAATGGGAACTTGCCATCCACCCAACAACATTTAATTTTTACGTAAGTACGTATGCATGTATTTAGTTGTTGAATAATAACTTTGTTGTTTTTGTTCTTGTTGTCCACCATTGTTTATTTATGTACTCCTACTATTCACATTTTCTATTGTTAATCTCTGATCTGACGTCGTAACATGCCGGTTAACGTGGCTTACCGATGCCACTTGTTTCCCGGAATAATTCAATCAAAAGTTATTTTAGCGAACGGTTGTGGGTTTGTAAAGTTCGTGATTCAAGTTGACGTTTTAAAATAAATTTATTTATTGAGGGAGTCTCTGAGCGTAGAGGCAAGGGAGTTGATTTCAAACCTAAATATTTTAAATCGTTCTTTATGAAACATACATCTGTTGGTGTATAAAGTTACTGTGAACTTGATTGATAGGTGTAAAATCTACTGGAAATGGTTCGAAAGTTTTTTTTTATTTTTTTTAAGAAAATTACTTTATTTTCATTTATTTAGAAATAAAACCCCGTGTGTAGCCCCTCTCTTCCAGAAATTAAATTAATTTCTTACACCATATAACGCGTGTCTCTCTTTCACTTGAATTACGAAACCTCGATTCAAGGACATTTCAATGAACATAATTGATTGAGCCCACATTGTGATGTTCATTCCAAATGTTCAATATATGGGTAGAACCCTCTAAACATATCTATGCTACTTACATACGCACCTATGTATATATGTATAAGTAGAAAACGCATCTACACGTTACTGCAAAATCATAGCTACCTGCATACACTTCCCTACGCTCATGTGTGCGGTAGTGCTTTTCTAGCGTAGTAGATGATGGCGGTGGTGTCGGTAGTAGTTGTTGTTGTTGATTTTTTGCACTTTTACGAAGCTTTTTAACCTTGACATAGATACAAATACCCCTACACCATCACCTTTTGGCCAAGACAATGTATGTGTGTATGCACTGCATTATTGTGTCGTTTTCTGTTTTTGTTTTCGTTTTCTTGTTGTTATTGCTTTTGTGTAAGTGTGTGTGTGTGTTTTTCTAAATGCCATGACTTTGTTTGCCAGCATTTAACGGCTAAACGAAATCGCAAAGCAAGGAAAGAAAAAAAAACGGGTGGCTGCACGTTACGTTTAACGAAATCAACAAAAACAAATACTACAACTGCACTTCTCATCACTTGTGTCAACAGCAATAAGAACAACAACGTCTACAATAAACACCCGAGTGTCATGAGAGATTACGAAGAGTAATGCAAAATGCCAAGAAGCCAATAGCCAACCACCCACCCACTACTCAACACACTCACACACCAACACCATACAATGTACATACATCCATCCACCCACACAAAATAAACTGCAGTCACTCGTTGCATTTTCATGTGAGAAATCGGATTATACCGACATGCATACATACATACATAGACTTGTACATAATTTGTGAGAGCGCTAAAAGTAGCTAATAAGAAGAGATCAAACACTCAGAGATTGTTTGCTGTAAATGTATTTTTATTTACGTATCAATCTATGAATACTATTAAAACCTAATCTGAGGGCCCATTTTAATTATTGAGGAAAACAAAAAATGCAAAATAAATTTTCAATTAGTATTTTATGCACTGACTAACAAACAAACGAAACAGGTAGCAGTGTGGCAACAACAGGGTGAACCGGCACTAAAGCACCATAGACATAGAATATATGGGTCACCTAGTAAATAATTAGTAAAATGTTATTTAGCCCGTTAAAGTAGAACTTATGATCGTAGCTGATGGATCTATAATGACGTGTAAACTAACACCGACAATAATGAGAATTAAATTACTCATCTTTTAATAATTACCTACCAGAAGTCCAATTCAACGATTGATCTAACGAGCAAAGACGGAGTGCATAACTAAAAGGATGCATATGAATACCTTAGTCGCTTTATTGACCCTTTGGAGGGCCAACCGACACCACCATAAATCGGTGTAAGCTTTCTGTAGATCTAAACCCCTTTTGATGGCATTACGCTGGTATTTGTCCAAAACCAACTTTTTGAGATGTTAAAAACTTTTTGCCAAAACATAGGGTGGTAAAGGGTATAAAAAGTCTAAAGGTCAACTCTCTTATCGACTTCAGCTTGACAACTTTGGCAAATTGACAAAATCAATAGATCTTGCTGACTAACTAACTACCTTTACCCAGAGCTACAAGAGACGAATAACCCGTTAAAAATAATGTAACAAGCAAAATTTTTGCATTTGAGACACAGAAAACTCGCAGGCATACATTAAAAAGCCGATGTATCCAAAACGAATCACTGTTTGGTGCGGATTTTTGTCCCGAGGTATAATTGGCCAACGAATTTTTGTTCACAAAAATTTAAATTTAGAATATTGCCAACATTTGGACTCAACAGAACGGTGCTATGTCGAAGCTACACTCGATGTTTCGTGCCCCATTTTTGAAGATTGTCATTATTGTTTTTTCCAATAGATGTAAACCCTCAGCAAATGTCCGTTCCCAAGGAGTGGGTCGATATTTTCCATTACAACGTGCCAAATTTGGACTATATCGACTCTTCCCTCAATTTATGAAGTTCCAGATATAGTGGACCGATGTATTCCACTTCGTGTAATACTAATAAAATTGTGAAGAAAATCAAACACTAATTTCCAATTTTATGCAAACCAAAATTTCAACCTTTTGTGGGGAAGGAACCAAAAAGAGTGGCCGATATACTCCATATTCACAACAGATCTCTTGTGAAGAGGAATATTTAGATAGATATAATTACTTAATACTGTGACCAAAGAGGTACCAAAAAATATCGGGATAGGTGGAATTTGAATAAAATTGGAGGTTTTAGCATTTTATGAGCATTTAGTTATTCAAAATGTTGACTCCTTTGTGAGAGAGGTACAAAATCGAATGATTCTTTGTGAGGTAAGTTATTTTCTTTGAAAATGTAGATAATTTGTGGGGTATGTACCAGAAGGAGTGGAGCGATATTGCCCATATCCGAACTCGATCTAAGTTGGACAATAATATTACGATGTACCAAGTTTTGATCAAATCGGATACTCCCCTCGAGAGTTATCGTGCGCACAAGCCAGCCATCCAGGCAGACGGACACCCCTAGATCGACTCCAAATGTCATGAAACGGATTTGGTCCAAAGGGACCTAGTATCTAAAACCTTAACTTCGAAAACGGACCCTGCATTTATTTCCACAGACATGCCCTTGTCGATCGTAATGGATTAGTGTGTAGATCTGGAAGTAGTTAGAACTGCCCCAAGAGTTAAAGAAACCAATTATTTGGAAATGGGCGATTGAAACACCCTAAAATGCGAAAAGAAAATTAAATATTCTATACTTGGAAAACGAACATTGTTGATCTGGATGTACTTTCTTGTTTCTATGGACCTCTCTGCCTATACGGTAAAATCTCACCTTACTTACCCTGAAGATTCTAGTCTAGAGCGCACAACAGGCCTATACTGGCTTAAGTGTATGGGCAAAAGGGCAGGCGGCGAATTTCTTCGCCCCTCTTTTCAACCTAACCTAACCTACCCTGACGATTTTTCACTGTGTCATTGTAGCACATGCAAAAGTCCTGAGATATCATCCCAATTTTAGAATGACGCCCTATTAGACAGCGCTGAAGCGGTTTGCTCTTCAAACACGCGAATATAACCTCTTCTCTTTCTTTACAAGTTCGCGAAAGCATCCCAGATGCTGAAGAGGAGTTGCTTTTTTTACTGGGCGTGCTACATGTTGGGTGCCAAAAAATAACAGAACATTAAGAAAAAATGTCTCACTGTTTTCAGAGGACTGGCAAGGGGCATTCAAATGGCCATTTTTAATTTTTGGGCAGAAACTTCTTCAATATGCTTCTTGACTTATTCCAAATAAATCTATTTGATGTGTTACACAACTTCCAATGACATAGAAAGCTTCTAAACTTACCTCACTACCAATTGTTGTTATCTTCACCAAAACTTCATCCTTGCTGGAATCATGTAGAATAACATCGCCCGATGTCTCTCGACCATTATAGGTTAGAAATACACGTTGTCCCGGCTGTAGTTTGACACCCAAAATCGAACGAAAACCGGGACCGATGAGATCAGTTTCACGAAATTCTTTTATCATGGCATTGCGTCGTAAGGTTTGAGCCGGACTTATGTGAACACTGGCGGCATGACGGCGGGCCTCAGCCGAGGTTGAGGCTACCACATGATCTTGGGTTTTGAAATCGAAACGAACAATATATTTGGTTTCATTGGCACTATCCGGCGTTGACGGTTTGGCATTGGCACTGGTAACGGTGGCCGTGGGCGGTGTTTTGACATCTTGTATAACACCGGAATACCACAGGCCATCAGGACCGGGGGCACAAACTTTGGTGCCAATTATTGAGCGTTTGGCTAGACGACGTCCGGTAGACATTTTGGATTTTAGATTTGTTTTGGAAATTTGAAGGAAATCAAACGAAACAAATAAAATGGAAGACTTTTTGTGTGTTTTTCAATTTTATTTTTTGAGAAAATTAATTTTGTGGCACACGATTTTGTTTTGCCAAAAAAAAACAAATATTAGGGAAGAACGAAATTTGATGTATCGAAAAAAAGGCAAATAGAATTTTGTAGATTTCTAGAAATATTACTCGCTGGATTTAGTTAATAAAACTTTTATCATAATTGTTTTTTCAATTTAATTTTATTTGAATTAAACACTTTTTGTGGTACTTTCATTTTTTACAATTTTTTTCTTTGTTTGATGTAAACTGTATTGCACTTTTTTGATTTTTTTGTTTTATTTTTTTAACAATTTATGTTTTATTATTAAAAAAAATCGATTTTTTATCTAGAATATTTTAATTTTTTTTTTATTTTTACTTTTTTGTGTATCTATTATTTTCCAAAACTTTATTTTATCTCTTTTTTTGGGATATTTTGTTAATTTTACAGCACTATGTTATGTTTTGAGGTTATGTTAATTTAACAGCTGTTATTAACAGACTCAATTTGACTTGGTATGTAAACAAAAGTTTTTTTTTTATTGATATTTTATTGAATTTAGAAAATTTTTAACAAAATATTTTGGACCATTTAAAATTTGAGAAATTTTGAACTAATTTTCCTTGTCACTCTTGTTGGAACCGGTTATTATAATTTTGTGGTTATTGTTGTTGTTTCTTGTTTTTTGATTGATTATCAAGCTTCTGTTGACACTCTTATTATTTATTATTATTAGATTTTATTAATTCACTTTCTATCTCGTTTATTCTCTCTCTCTCTCTCTCGCACTCAATATCTTATCAGCACACCTTTAATAAAATTTATGTATTTTTTGTTGTTTTTGGAAATATGTTTTATAGATTTTTGTTTTTCTTTTTTTCTTAATTTTTTTGAATAGTTTTTCTTTTGACTTCTTTTGTGTTTTCCTTTTTCCTCTCTTCTCCTGTACCTCTCCGCTGTTAAGTTGCAATGATCATTGCCGCTTTACGCTTAGATTTGTTGTGATTGTCTGCACGATTTGTTTTTCTGGCGATCTCCGTCGTCGTTGTCGTCGTCGTGTGACTATGAAACGTGCGTTTTTTAATTGGAAATAGTGACGATTTTCCGGGAATATTTGTTTGATAATATTGAAATTGAAAATTTGAAATGCGTTGACTAAATTTCTGATTCCCGTTTACACTGGGGGCTATAACATTTCGTCTGTTTTGGAAACTGTTGTATGGGCCTTTTTCACTGACTGGGGCATGGAGACCTGCTATTAACTTGACTACATGCCGTTCACAAGGGGTTAACAGATGATGACGTTTGGCTTTGTGGTTGGACCTAAGCATAATCCACTTGTCACTGAGCTATTTTGGTTAAACGGTCTTTTTTTTCAAACCGGCCAGGGATTGGAGCTCCACTCAAAATTCAAAATAAAAATGCGGTTGTTTTCAAATGAATATTATTTTCTGTTTTTCTAGTTGCTGTGTGACACAGTCCTGTATTTTTTGTTGTTTTTTTAATAATTTTATTTACATAAAATATTATTTTTGTAACAAAGCACTTTTAAATAGTACAAATAGTGATTTTGAATTCACAAAATATTTCAGAAGGTTTTTTTAGTTTTCCGCTTTCCGTTTTGTTCTTTTCGGTTGTTATTTTTGTTTTTCGGATTTATTTATGCGGGTTGGGTTTCTTCTTCACAGAGCGAGCACTGATGACGATCGAACGAACGTTGGAATACGCTGCGCTGTTGGTGCGTGGGGTTGTTTGGTCTCTTTCAATGCTGTTGTTGTTGTTGTTGGCTGTGGTGGTGGTGCTGCTGCTACAGCTGAGGAGCCTTCAAATGACGTTTGAAGTGCATACGTTGAACGATACGACAATTCGGCAACGACGTATCATCGACATGGAATCGATTGCATTACGTTCTGCTGCGTGTTTTGTTTGTTGTACGTTCGGTCGGTCGGGTTGGTCCGTTCTGTTCGCTGTGTATTTGTGGGGGTGCTCTCTTCTCCAAAAAAGCGCTTATCGTCTGAACACGAGAGTTGGCTATCAACGACTGATTTTCGTAAATACACTTTGTTGTTTTGTGTGTATTTGATTATGCTTCTGCTTCTGCCCGACAGCCAGCCAGCAAGTCAGCTAGCTAGCTAGCTCGCGTTGAGTGTTCGTGTGTGTATGTGTGAGCGGACGGTTCAGTTCAGTTCAGTTTAGTTTCTTGCTTGCTGTGCTGGCTGCTTGATTATTTGTTTCGTTTTGGGCTTGACTGCCTGAATGTCTGTCCGGCCGCTGGCTCGCTCAGAGCTCACACGACTTTGTTGGCTTGTTTTACTTGTCGTTTTTGTTGTTGTGAGTGAGTGAGCGTGTTGTTGTTGCTAGCCACTGTGGTTGTTTGTTATGATTTTTTTTTCTTCTGTTTTCTATACGAGTTTTGTTATTTTTATTGTTGGTTGGGGTTTTTGTTGTTGATTTCTCGAAAAATCAAAACAAAAGAGAAATGAAAGTTAAAAAGAAAATCGAGACGTAATGCGGCACTGTATTATGACGTTGTCATCAACAACCCGTTCGTCAGCCAGCGAGTCAGTCAGTCAGTTAAATGCAAGGTATTACAGCAAAGCAACAACTATACCAAGATCCATACAAAAAAACTTGGATGCACTTCTACACTGACACATACACAAGCGTGATATAACGTAAACAAAATAAATATGTCGACTGCGAAGAATCCACAAATAAATTCTTAAAAATCTCCAAATTCTTTAAAACTAAATCACTCTCTCACAAATTGTATATTTTTCTATATTTTTTTTTTTTTAAATTTTTCTTTAAAAATATCTTGTTTATGTTGTGTTTTCCAGCGATTCAGTTTGTATCTATAACAGTTTTTATTACGTCTTTTGTTTTTATTACGTTTTCATCATAACATTTATTTCCTATTCTCTCTCTCTCTTTATTATTGTTGTCGTCGACGTCCCCATTGCTCTCCACCAACACTTTCAAAGTCTCCCTCATTTTCAACCTACATTCGCTGGTTCTCTGGTTTTGCTTTGTTGACAATGTTGCCAAAACAGCTGTTCCCTGAAACGTCATGCAACACAGCCTTCCATGTATAGATACACACACGCACACGAACCGACGGCATGCATATGTTGAACGCCATGACGACAACGACGAGAGCATTCGTTGCTTGTCAACATCTTGCAAATGTAAACAAATCTCCCAGAAACACCGGCCGGTATCCAACAGATACATTTGCAGTCGCACTGCACCGCACCTTCTCAGTTAACAGTAAACAAAATAAACAAACACACACACACTCTCACCCGCTCTCAAAACACAAGTATCTCAGAGATAAACTCTCGCGCTCTTTTTCATGTGTCCAAGAAACGCCCTCCTCTGATGTGCCCTCGTCGTTCGTTAGTCGTCGTTGAGTTGTTTTGTTATCATCATTCCTCCATCAGCTGTTTTCTGTTGTCGTATGAATTTCCTGTTTTTGTTTTCTCGTCATGTGAGAGAGTTCGTTTTGGCGGTTGTATGTGTAAGGGGGTTTGAGATAAAATTATGTGGGTTTGTTATTGATTCACACTGAGAGGGAGAGTTGGTTAGGGTGTTGCCATTCATGCCATTTATTTGGTCATTTTCGTTTAGAATTTGTTGCTGTTCTAAATATGTTTTGGTTGACACACAGGGAGGGATTGAGTGATGTAGTTGAACTGGTCGCTAACTGATTAGCTAACCAATGACTTTGTTTAGAATGTCGATATTTTATCAATGACTAGAAAAAATTTGAATTTACTTTTGTTGTTGTCCAAATGTATAAATGAGGGTACGTTAAATTTGTCATTCCGTTTGTATAAAAATCGATGGAGACTAAGGCAGATCTGTCCGCCCGGCGATCTGTACGTTTATTAAAATATAGTTTCCATACGAAATTTAAGGTTCGTAGAATTGCTAGTATGGGCATGTAGGTCCACGTTTTGGTATAGCCGCCCAATTAGTGTACAGCCCGATTTAATAAATTGTTGTCAATTTTTCAATTAAATTTGCTGTCAATCGACAGTTAGTGTCCCTAGAGCAGAGAAAATATCCTAGCAAAGAAGTTGTGGTATAGACCCCCTTGATATTCTGTATTTTAGGGTTTTGATCCCAACCAAGTAAGATGAAACATAAAATTTTTAAGGATTTTGAATATAGCCATTTTATTATTTATTTATGGGGGAGGTTCCAAAGCAGCTGGCCAATATTGACCAATTCCTATCTGACCTAAGACTGATATAAATATTACAACGTGCCAGATTTGGACTATATCGACTACTTCCCTCATTGTATATGAGATATGTGATAATTTTTGGAAAATGTGGAATGATGTGGAATGTGAAATTAGATATAGCTGACTGAAGTATTCCATTTTTATACTTTATCTAATGCAGATAAAAGTATTGGTATAGACAATTTGAATGAAATTGAACATTTATATCCAGTTTTATGCAAAATCATAAATTCCAATAAATCACATATTCATATAAGATTTCTGGTTAAGAGAAATATTTAGATATAGTAAGTTGCAAGGAATCGCCGGTTTGTTTCGCAAGTTATGACAGATAAAAGTATTGAAAATTCGCAGATATATATCATCTTCATAACAGATCTTGCGTTATCATAAAATATTTGGATGTGTGAAATTTGAAGAGAGTTGGTTGCCTATTTCGCTTTGTTTTTCAAAATATTGAAGCTTGAATGTTGGGCGACCAGAAGAAATGGTCCGTTCTCTATCACATTTATAACAGATCTTATGTTGATGGAAATATTGAGATGTACCAAGACTGAATGGAATCGGATGTTAATATCGTTTTTTTATGCGCTTCATGGATATTCACAATTTTGACCCTTTGTGGGGGAGGTGCCAGAAGGAGCTGACCGATAAATCCCATCTTCAAAGCAAATCTTGTATTAGTAGAAATTATGTGGTGCTTTAAATATAAAGAGAACCGGATACTTATTTCGGAATTTCTGATCGTTTTTGTTATTCAAAACTTTGACCATTTTGTGGGAGAGGTACCAGAAGGAATGGTCCGATTTCTACCATCTTTATAACAGATATTGTGTTGATGGAAATATTGAGATATACCAAGTCTGAATGGAATTCGATGTTAATTTCGTGTTTTATGAGCTTCATGAATATTCAAAATGTTTAACCCTTTGTGGGGGAGATACCAGAAGGAGTGGACCGATCTTCATCACCTGACCTGTGATGTGTGTAATTTGACGATAATCGGACTCTTACATCACATTTTATAAGAGATTTAATTATTCAAAGTGTTTACCCTTCGTGGGGTAGGTACTTGATGGAGTGGACCGACTCATGCAAATGCAAGAATTTGCAAAGTTGGAGCAAAATTGTATTATTTTTTCTCTTTCTGAGCAGTAAAATCTTATTTTTTTGAAAATTTCGACAGTACCAGAAGGAGTGGACCGATATTGCCCATCCCCGAACTCTATCTAAGTTTGATAATAATATTCCGATTCGAGAGTTATCGTTCGCACCAGCCATCCAGACCGACGGACGGACGGACATCGCTAGATCGACTCGAAATGTCCTGAACTAAGATCTGAAACTGTTATTTCGATGAGGCACGTTTTGTGTAATATAACTCTAATATAACTATTGCCACAGACCCAACTTGAATTTATCATGTACCTGATTCGTTATATGAGATGTATGCAAGATTTTTTTGACATTTTTAAGCATCTAGGGTTGAGGCTATATTGTCCATTTTCGCACCAGAAAGAGTGGTCCATTCTATTCTACTCCCATACCAGATCTAGAGAATTTAGAAAAATTGTGCGAAACACCAATTTCAAATTTTATAAGATTTATTAGAATTATTAGAAAAAGGGTATGCCCCTTCCCTCTCTGTCAGATGTGAAATGTTTAAAATTTTGTAAATTTTTATCATTAATATGGGTACCAGGAGCGGGAGGAGTAGGCCGATATTACCCATCTTCTAACTTGATCTAAGTTTAACAAAAAAAAATTGGAAGTGCCGAATAGGATACCTGTACTGAGAGCCATGTTACAGGGGTTATAAAACAGGGCCCTCTTTTTAAATATATTTGTAGTCAAGTATATTTTTTCAACTATTAAAATTTTTGGGTACAATTGTTTTGACAATTTTAAGGGACATTTTGGGCAAAAAAAAATGTAGATTTATAAGGTATTAGCGGTTGTGAAAATTTCCATAGAACTTCGCCAAGCTCCTCCACAGGAAAATGCATTTGCCGCTTCTCCTTTATATCCAACGATGGTTAAACCCATGTCTCAATAAAAAAGGTTGCCCAACTTGAAGAAAACTAGGAATATGCACCTCTGTACTGGAGTCTTATTACGTCAAATAGACTTTTAAAAAATTCAACAATTTGCTTTGTTTATTTAATTTTTTTTTTCACAAAATTTTTATATTGCGGAAAACCCACGAAACATGAATGGAATATTAGGGTTTCACTACAAAATTGAATCCAAGGTAGAGGGACAATTCGCGTTATCTCAAAATTATACATTTTGTTGTGTTTGTGAAATAATTTCAAATTATTTTCCTTTTTATTCAAAACAATACACATACACACAAACTGTGTATACCCAACATACCAAATTGACTTGAGAATAACATTTTAATAAGCTTACAAACATAAGCCTAAAGCTTGAGAAAATCTTGAGAATGTATTGAGAAATGTTTGTTTAACAATTATAGAATAATCGAAAAGGAACCCTTATTCATAAGCTTATTCTTGTAATTGCAGAATAAGCTTACGAAAGTAATATTTTATAAAGCTTATTTTTTCAATGGTAAAAAATATTTATTTATTCATTTTTTAATTATTTTACACATTTCATTCATTGATTGCCATCCCAGCTGTCACTGCATCCTGTTGCCTTGATACCTAGATGCTTTCTTTCCCCTTATTTGAGCTTCTGTATCTCCTCCACTTATTCTTCACTTCTGTTGAATTCCTACAACTTTTTGACGCCTCCATTCTGAAATGAGATTGAAATAATTTATACTACAGATTCCCAGATTTATTATTCATCATTACCTTACCAAAAAAGTGTTTCTCAAGCATTGTTGAAAAAATGTTATGATAAACTATTTTCATAATATTATTCTCAAGCTGTATTGTATTTTTGGTATGTTGGGTATGTTTTGAAAGAAAAGGGGCACCAAGAAAATAAAATTGTATTTAGGGGATAGCTTTGTTCTATCTTCAGTAATTATGCCATGGTTAAACCAACTCCAAACATTGCTTGTTGGCTAACGAAAAAATGCGAAAATTTAGACTCCTGCTCCCACAAAATTATCCGACTCCAACACCGACTTCGCATACCTGATTATAAGTTTAGCACAATTATTAAGATTTGCCATATTAAAGTCAGACATTAAGACAATTCAGTGGTTGTTAATGTTCGAAAACTTATTTCGCCCGATTTCACACTTGCAATACAAATAGAGGTTGACAATACCTAGCCCCCTTGGGGATTTGCAATAAGAACTAATAGTCAAACCAAACAATTTTTTCCGAAATTACATATATCTATATACATGTTCAGCTATAAAAACCCCAATACAACACGGCTGTGAAAAGCGGAATCGCCAAATATATTAATTACTTAAATAAAAAAATCTCACACACTGAACCGATACATTTATGTCGCATTGCATTTTTTACTTTTTATTGTTCATTTCATTTTGTTGTTTTTACTGCTTGTTCAAGGCTTC